GATCTCTTTATTGCAGCGTCGCACAAACCATACATCTTTCACAATGGCAATCGGTGGTAAGTTAAGAGCATTTTACAAGGTAACAGACTGTTAATAACCATTCCCTCACATTGTTTCTTTTTTTGCTTACGTTAATTCCAAAATGGATTCATCCTAGAATTGTGAAAAATTTTTTTTGAGAATGCGACCAGAAATAAAACGCTACATATGTCCTGATGAGGACTGATTTGATAATAGTAATACTTCCTGTCAGATGCTCGTAATGTTATCGAACCACTGTTGGCCAATTACGTATGCACCTTCAATAGTGGTTATTTCGAGCGCATGAAAGGATTTTATCACAAGAACGCTGTGATGGTCGAGAAAGACAAAAGCGTATTGTGGGGTCAGAAAGGTGAGTTGACGAGCTGTTCACCTTTTTTCCCAGTAAAAGAGAAACATAGACGTATTGTGAGTAAACTCATTCCAGACATTTAGCCTCGCTGTTGCAAATGACTACTGAGTGTGGGGAAACAAGAATGGAGGTAGTAATTAGAGTGTTTGTTTTCTTTCTAATCCTAATATATTGATTTAGGTCTCTAACTCAAAATATGACGGCGTTGGAGACTTTCTCAATGTGACCACCGATTTTGCCTCACTGAGAAGGTGAGCTGTTTATTGTGCACACACTTGTCATAGCTATAACTGAACTCTACTCATATCTGTGAGTTTTTACTGGGTGGTAAGCTGTGAACTTTCTTCTAAAAAATTCTAGCCAAGAGTTCAGAATGAGTCCATATAACATTGAAAAGAAGATATCTTGTTACAGGATGTTTGGTTGTGCTTTAAAATGATTGAAAAAAAACACAGTAGTAGAATTTTGAAGAAAAATGCCTATTGCCAAACTTGACCTTCTTGGAATCGCATGAATTTCGAACGCGGCTGGTCTATAAACATATGTTTGAGGAAAGAGTTAACTTCTTGTAATATAAATAACCATGACAATACTTTTGCTATGGAAATTTTGAGTATGAAAAACCGCACGGACGTTTCCGACTTTCCATGCATTACAATACTAATTTTCCCAATTCTGAGTTATTAGCATCATCTTCAAAAGTGGGAATTTTAGACGAGCAAGCAAGAGAGTTGTTCACCAAATATTTGCGCTCATCTTTCCTCTAGTATGGTTGCGACTGAGAACAGCCCAATTCTCGCAAACTACGTAAAAAAATGTTTATTGGGGTTGCAAGTTTTCATCGGTTATAGATATTTTTAGGTGTTTTTTAATTGCAATGAACGAAAAGCTGCACTGGACACTGAGCTAAGCATATAAATGTGCCGTTTAGCCGAAGGATTGTATAGTTGATCACGACTGAGGGAAAAGTCGTCGTCCACTGTTTAGAGC